TTTTTTCTTTTTTGGAAAACAATAAAAATTTTATATTGAAAAAAAAAAAAAGAGTTATAGAAGTTTCTTAGTAATAAATGAGACAAAGTCTATTGTTTGAAAGAGGAAGTAAAGTGATATTTAAATCACAATTTAAATCACAAATAAACAGTTGTTATGTTACTACATCACAGGCCAAATTTCATGATTTTTTCTTGTTAAGATAAAATATAATAAAAAACCTTATAAAATTAAAAGAACAAATCTTACCAATTCTCTGATTCCATATTGTTTCTCTACTTTAACTTTTAAGTGCCTGAAGCATTCCTCCATACGTTCATGGAAAGGACGAAGGCTGTCTGATACTCTTCTTTCATGAATCTTAATTCCAGCTGCAAGGAACGGAACCTAAAAAGCAGCAAGAAAAATTTCAGTCACGCTATTTTATATTCCCCATGTCTCCAGAACATGTTGAACTGACTGCGGTTACAAAATGTGATTTGTAATATATTTGCCAGCTGACATTTTCTTCTTTCCTTTCAAACAGGTAGCAATACATCTTATTATGATGTATAATATAATAAATAATTACAGAAGAGAGAAGTACAACCTTCCTGGAAAAATATAATTAGATTTTTTTGTTTCCTGTGCATAATGATATGCAATAAAAGTTTAAATAGGTGAATAATTTATGATATTTCATATATTCTTAAGATGAAGAATGACAGAAAATACATCATGTCTTCAGAATCTAGACCAGGCTAGATTAGTATGATTGGTGAAATGTACTATAAGCCAACAATTTACTCAACCATGGGTACATAGTGGACATTTTCACTGTGTTGCAAAGATTACATTGTAAGCACTTTGCTAAGCGATCAAAGCATTAGTAAGTTTAGAAGCAAAGCCACTTCAGCTGAAATTTCAAGCACAGTAGCATGGTTGTTTCCTCATTGTCATGTATGTGTCTGTCTTCCTGAGAGGGATCAGCAAAGAACACCAGGAATGTATGCCAAGAGTACAGTATTTACTTCCAAAAAGATCATCCAAGGCCTGAAGGTCATCCCAGTTTTGCAACCAAAACAAGCACATATCTATACTGAGTAGCAGCAGTATGGAATGATGCTGAAGATAGATGATGTCTTTAATGACTGCGGTGTGGGAGAAGGTTAATTGTACCTTTCCTGTATTTTACCAAATCCCCACAAAAATCATAATAAATGATTGGTAATATAGTGCTAGATAATGGGCTTCAGGTCAGATACCATTCAGTCTGTCACAGATAAAGATCTGAAAATATTCCAGAATAATAATAGTTTTTATGATAGCAATAGCAATAGCATTTAGACTTATATACCACTTCACAGTGCTTTACAGCCCTCTCTAAGTGGTTTACAGAGTCAGCCTATTGCCCTCAACAATCTGGGTCCTCATTTTACCGACCTCGGAAGGAGGGAAGGCTGAGTCAATCTTTAGCTGGTGAGAATTGAACAGCTGAACTGCAGGAAGCTGGCAGTCAGCAGAAGTAGCCTGCAGTACTGCATTCTAACCACTGCACCACCATGGTTCACCATGATATGGCTAGATTAGAGCTGGACAGACTGACTTTAAAGGATAAAACAACACTGTATATTCTCCCTTTATTTATTCAATATCTTATATGTTGAATATATTTTGAGAGATAAGAAGATGGGTAGGTTTTTAAAATTGGAAGATAAAACATTAATAACCTACACCATGCTAATGACACTACTCCGATAGTTGAAAATGCGAGTGATCTGCAAGCTCTTGTAATGAAAGTCAAGGAACAATGTGAAGAAATGGGATTAAAATTAAATATAAATAAGACTAAATAATAGGTACAGCAAATACCTATTTATAATATAAATATTCAAGTGGTGGATAATTTCTGCCTTTTAGAATAAACTAACAATAATACATAAAGGAAACATCAGTCAAGAAACATGCTGCATACTCTCATTTGATGGAGTAGCAGTAAAAGACTTGGAAAAAATATTCAGATGCCATGATGTATCCATGCCTACAAATATTAGAACTGTGCACTCAATGGTTTTCCCTGTGGCACTCTAGGAAAGTAAAAATTGTGCTTTGAAGAGACAAGCTAGAAAGAGCATTAGCCCTTTGAACTCCGGTGTAGAGTTGACTCCCAAGAATATGATAGGTAGCTAAGAAAACAAAGAAATTATACAATGAATCAATCCAGAATTGTCATGTGAGGCACAAAACAACCAGGCTCAAATTATCACATTTTGTACACAGTATGTAATGACCTAGTTCTCTTGAGAAATCCACATGCTGGAAAAAGGAGTAAGGAAGTGAGAGGAAGGAGTAGATTACCAACAACTAGAGTTTTGGATTAGATTAGATTAGATTAGATTTTTGATTAGATCTTTGGAAGACCTGAAAGGTCAGATTGGAGACAGGTTTATCTGTATTACTGCTAAGAGTCAACAATAACTTGATGGAGCATATTAGTAATCATTCAATCAGTAATCAGGATGATAGATATATCTTCTAAACTCATGGGTAATAGTTTATGGCCTCAGGCCTACACTTAGTTCCCAAGAGCTTAGAGCTCTTGTCAGTTGTCAAATATCATTTGTCAAAAATCAGAGATATGCATTTCACATCATTTTGAGCACACCATTTTGTGACATCCCCTCATACTAAAATTGTGAGGAGGTTACACATTACACCAGGCCTGTCAAACATGCGACGTCATGTGACGTCGCACAACGTATCGGGACGGTTTTGCCATTGCCAGCAATGGGGTGGGCATGGCTTCTGGATGACGCATCTGGCCCGTGGGCCAGCAGTTTGCCACCCCTGCATTCACAGATTTTACGAAAGCCAGGGACTCTCCACCCGTGCTAATCCATCCCTTCCAATACTCATGAATTGCTTTGTCTCCTGCTTTTCAAGGAAGTGGCATAGTGCAGATGTTTCCCCAGTATAGTACTTCACCTGTTCTGTCCAGAAAGATGGTGAATCTTCATGTTTCTTATGTAATTCCTCTTTTGGTACATGAAAAATAGGACTACGCTAATGGACAGATATATTTTCCTGTTTAAAGGTTGATTGTTTGCACTAGGTAACTTTCTTTAATAATGATTCAGAGTTATCAGAACAATTTGAAGTTCTAAATTTCTAGTATTTTAGATTGCACTGGACACCACCATTAAAAGTGATGTCTTCTGAATGCAATCTAGATGTATACGGTGGGTGTGAAGATGTGATAGAAGCACATGGTGCTATTATGCACCAAATAAGTTTGTGCAAAGATGTTTATGAAAACAACTATGGAGCTGATATAAAATATATGCAAACATGTAAATGAAGGACTTACTTCATAACACCAAGATTAAACATTTGTTTACATATATTTTTAGTAGCTATTTCCACAGCAAACAGTAGCTATTTCTACTGATTCAAATGTCAGTAGAAGAAGGAAGATACTGATAATGTGGGTGACTTATCCATAAACAAACTAGAAGCAAAAAATAGATTAGTCTCTGGAAAAAATAAAGCATTACCATTATGCTACATCCCTCATAAAGTTGCTACATTTGGTATTTCAGCAAGAACATAAAAATAGAAGTGATATTTTCAGATCAGAGTGTTAATAGGTTGTTTTCACCCAAGCCTGGTGAAACTGTTAATAGCAGAGAATTAAACATCATTCCAAACCTATGCAAAATCAGTGTTTTCACTTGTTTCCTGTTTATCTGACAGCAACAGAAATACTGTGATGTCAGGTTTTTTTCCTCTTCTTAACATTACATAAGCATTTTTAGGGAGTAGGTATTCAACTAAATCACCAAGGGATTCCTAATGCTTTTGTTCAGGAAAGGAGGCTCATTAAATGTGGATGAAAAACTTTTTGCAACATACTTTTTATGCGCTATTTCCAGTCACACTTCAGACAAATATTCCTCTTCAAACAAACAAGCAAAGGAAAATAGAAGGAAAATATGCATGTATTATATATTGGTGTGCTTTTCCTCTGGAAAGGAGACCAATCAGCAAAAGAAAGGGGAGACATTAATAATATTTATTTTTTAAAAAATCAGAGAAGTGTGCCCAGCATTTCAATACCTGCCAAGCAATCAGGTCTTTGAGTCTGTTTAGTTTCTCCTGATCCTCTGAGTGATCCCTAGTGTATTCATCTGTGAAGAAAGCCTGCAAGCAGAAAGGAGGTCACTCAGTTTTTCATCTGAACATGACATTCATGGGTTGTGCTGAAGATCTAATATACTGGAGGGTTATTTCATTTTAAATACAATAACTAAACTCCTTACCTTCTCGTACTTAGCAAACCCTCCCATGACTGCTGGATCAACAATTCCGTTCAGAAGCATGGACAAAGGATTAATGGGAAGGTTCTCATCACTTTGGTACTGATTGATCATTGCCAGAATCTTCTCATTTGTCATGGACATTGTTTCAATGGCATTCTCCAGGGGGCTAATTGTAGTCTATGGAGGAGGCAACAAGATTATCATCAATCCCACCTGCAAGTTTGTGTCCCAGATTGGCTGCATTGGAATCTGAGAGATTCTTTCATTCATTATGAAATGTGTTAGCATTTCATTAAAATTCCCCAACCTCAAAAAAATCAAATGCATATTGAACCATATTGCTTAGTAGGAGAATGGATTCCCTGGTAACATAATACTTTGTGGTTTTTTTCCTCATAAAATAGCATTGACTCTTTCTTTCTATTTCTGGAGGTTAAACTGCATATAATACTCATCAGAATTCTAATACAGACCTGTGACATGGAGACAACCTCAAACCAACGCAAGATTCCAGGGAGTTTATAAGCTGTAGTAAAGGATGTTCTCTCAATCCACATAGACTGTTAAAAGATGCAGAGAAGAAATATTACAACAGTTAAATCATATTGTTAGAAAGATAAGAGCTTACTGGAAATATAATTTAAACGACAGGGAAATCTTTTCCCGGCATCAATATTATTTGAGAGGGGGGGGAGAGAGAGGGAGGGAGGGAGATAGATGATTTCACCATTTCCTTTACAAACCAGAATACTTTAATACAGTCTGCAACACTGTGTTCCACCAGCACCACCATCACACACACACACACACACACACACACACACACACACACACACACAAACAGTGGGAGAGAAGGGACAAGACTGAAATACTGATGGAATGGTATGCCAAAGATCACCGATAACTTAACTTAAACTAGGATGATCTGAAATGTTTTTAAAAATGTTGTTTGATAACCAACCTATCATTTGTTATTCCATCGGGCTTATTATGTAACTACAGTAATGGTCAAAATTGTGGCAACCTTTTGGGAAAAGTGTATTTTTGAGGTTTGATGGCTAATAACACCACTTTTGTTTGGAGTAGTACCATAAAATTATATATCAATGGAAAGATAATTTAATCAAGAATGTAATACAACAACATTTGTTCAATTATCTGTACTGTATTCTATGAAAGTTATAGCCAAATAACCAGAAAAAGGAAGCACAACTTGCTTAGGTTGATATCAGGTAGCTTTCCTTCATCTGATTGTAGCCAATGAGCATGAGTGTTTAGAGAGCCAATCAGGTGTCATCTTGTTTTGGCAATGAGCCAATCAGTAGGATTCAGTGATTGATGTCATGTATTGAAACTGAGAGGAGGACTTTTGTCAGTGTATTATGTGATCGCTATCAAGTTGGTTGGGTCTTTTTTTTCCTTTCATTTAGTGAGCTTGTAAAACGTAATAAAATTAAAGAAATGGTGCAAAGAGTTGACTGGTTGCCCAGAGAGCGATGTAAAATAGTATTATTAAGCGAACAAGGCTACAGTTATAAAGAAATTAGAAGAAAAACTGATGGAAACTTAACCAAAGGTGGCATTTCTACTGTACACTTTTCCCAAAAGGTTTCCACAATTTTGGCCACTACTGTATACCCCAAATATATGGCATTCTTGAAATTCATGAGAGCCAGCCCTGACAGAAATCATTCTGTTGATACCAGATGAAACTCAGACTATGGGGAAAGCCTAAGTAATTTTACACCCTGCCTGTCCAGCCCAATGATGCTTCTATGGCATTTTGTACCTCTTCTGCCTTCTAATAAAGTATGTAGCATCGCCTGAGCAATGCCATGTGTCACATCTGAGTGACAGATAACATGGCGGTGTTCAAAACGTGAAAAGATACTTACAGCAAATTCATTTTCAGGGTCAACTGATCCTTTTCTGGTTGGTCTTGAATAGTGGAATCTTTGCACATAGTTAGATTTATAAAAACTAAGAGAGAAAGAGAGAGAGAGATTACAAACCTTTTTACTCCATAAACTTCCATATGAAAATTCAATTTAACTTTATTTATGTAGTCTCAATATACCCTATCCACTTTTATCTCAAATGTCTACATTGTATTCAAAGCACTACATTGTACATTGTTAAGTATGTCTAAACCTGATTGGAAAGTGTGCCTTTTCAGGATGTTCAGTATCTGAACAAATTATCACAATGTAACCATGTATCAAAAACTTATAGATATATGGAAGCGGGGATAGTTTTGATCACACTCAGCATATTTCTACATTCCACAGATAAATAAGAAATGGGGGAAAATATCCAGTCTATAAGTATCATCCTCCATATCCTTCAAGCTATAATGAATCTTTGCCTTTCAGAGGTTGATTATGCTATGACTTAGCAATGGGTCTTGGCTTGGTTGTGACTACAGATAGGTCCTGATTAATGTTAGCTTGAATAGTGCAAACTATTGCAAATTATAAATGCCTTTGGGGTTTTAGATCAGCACTGTGTGTGCAAAATGGAGAAATGGAAGATTTCACTTGAGGAAAACTCAAAAAAGAAGAGGTTCACTTTGAAAAATCACAATGGAATAGCTCTTTGAAAAGGTTTTCCTTTGTTTACTTTGTTTATTTATTTTAAATATTTATGAAATCTATCTGTAACAACTTATGGCAGGCTATAATCCATTAGAAAGCAATAAAAAACACTAAAACCATGTAAAAAGTAATGATCTTGCTACCATTCCCTGTGTACCTATAGCTTCTGAGCAATCTTCAAGGACAGACCTGTGTAGGGCACACATTGTAGTAATTCAGAAAGTCAACCAACATTCATTAATTGCCAGTTCATTAACAACCCTATAGTTTCCTATTTTACAATGCTTAAATATTAAACATTCCATTCTCACTGCATCCGAACTTTTCTTGATATACCAAAGTCTCATTTTCATATAATAAAGTGGGCAAAAGAATCCTTTTACACAGCCATTTTCACTTATTTTGACAACCATTCTTTTCTTGCAACAAACCTTTTAATCTTAATCATTCCTTACTCTCTTTGACTAAATGCTTTGCAACTATCTTTTCTGTTCAGTATGCATATTTTTCTGTCATCATTCTCTTATATGATGTCACACTTCTTTTTTGTCATCTTTCTATTAAACATTCTTTTTTATATTTCCCACTATTGTGGTACTTCTTTTCTTTTTTTAAATGTCATTTCAACATCATATAGAATTATGTTCACTTTATATTCATTTTCTAGGAAAATTATTTCATATATTTTCATTCAAGACTCATACCTGGCCCTCTTCTAATTATATCACTTTTATTCTTATTTTTTTCACTTTCTTCTTTTCCTTCCATGTCTATTTTCTCCCCAAATTCACTCTTTATACTACCAAGAAATAGTAGACCTATGTTTAAAAAGTATATATATATATATATTCCGGTTTCTCGGGCGGAATGGAAGATCTGGTGGCCTGGTCATGGCCTGGTGAGGCGAGGGACGCGGCCTAGCGGCTTCCTAAATGGATTAATTGACTCCACGAGGACTATTTTCTCCCCCCCTTTCTTGGGTTTCCTGCGGCCGGACTCATCGCTTTGCCTGGTGATGTATTCTAGGACAGATCTGCTGGTCCTGCGCGATTCCCCCCTCGCGCAGGCCTGGCCCAGTACCATCTCAAGGGCCTACCTCGATGAAGGGGTGTGGAGCCCCGAGAGGTGGTATGCAGCAGATAGAAAAAAAGCAAAATTGAGGACTTTTTTAGTGGGGTGTTTTAATAAATTTT